AGAGGACCGAGGGAGAGAGATAGAAGGAGGAAGGTGGGGGAGAGAGGGGAAAAGGAAAGGAGATGAGGAGAGGGGGAGAGAGATAGAAGGAGGAAGGCAGGGGAGGAAAAGGGAGAGAGGGAAAGGGAGAAAGGGGGAGGTGGAAGTAAGAGGAAAGGAAGGGGAGGGAGGGGGAGGGAGAGAAAAGAGAAGAGGGAGGAGGAAAGAGGGCAAAAGAGGAGGGGAAGAGAGGGGAGGGGAAGCAGGAAAAGGGGAAAGTCAAGAAGAGGGAGAGAGAAAGGGGGGAGAATTAGAGAGACAGAATGGGGGTGGGGCAAAAGGACCGAGGGAGAGGGAGGAGGAAAAGGGGCCAAATAAAGAAGGAGAGGAGGGGGAAAGGAGTGAAAGGGAAATAGCAGGAGAAAGAGGGAGAAAGGGGAGCAGGGAGGGATTGTGGAGAAGAAAGGAGAAAGGGTGAGGTCAAAGGGACAGGGAATGGGGGGAGAGGAAGGGCAAGGAGGGAGGGGATAGAGGAAGGGAGCTGAGAGAAGAGAGGGGAATAAAATGCTCTTCAATTAACCATAAGCCACAGTTTATCAGAAACATCTGGTGGATGGGCAGGGGAGCCAGCTGATTGCAGCATGAGGCGAAGGCTCCTAGCTCTCACTGGAGCTGCGTCCAAAGGAATGGGAGCTCCCTGCCTCGACCCACCCTGAGAAATGAAAGGCCAGGCTCTGCGCCCCTTAGGCCATAATGTACAGGGAAGGATGGGGGGGGTGGCCAGGGGCCATCCTGGGGGTCCTGCGGGCTCTCCATCGTCCCTCCCATGATCCCCACAGACACACAGGCTCCTCTCCTGTTTCCCCAAAGACAAGAAGAGGGAGAGTTTGTGGGACCAGGCGTGGAGGCAGGGACGAGGCAGCAATCATGGGAATTGGAGGCATGGCTGGTCCTCTCTAGCTGGGTGACTAGGAGTAAGTCACTCGACCTCTGCAAACCTCAGTTTCTTCATCTGTAGAAAACACCTCAGAACTTGTGTCAGGGTGAAAGTTAACCCTAACTTCCCAGAGCTGTTGTGAGAAAAATACTTTGTGGACTTGAAAGAGCAAGTGGAAAGAATGCTAGATCGGGGTTCACATGTTGACCCTGTCATTTACTGTCTGTGTGCTGTAGCCTCTCTGGGCCTCAGTTTTCTCATCTGTAAAATGAGCACATGAGTTAAATGTACACTCTGATAAATTTGAAATGGGAGCTTTGCTATTATTATTGTTTCATTCTCAGGCCCCTGGAGAGATGACACAGACGCCTGTGATCAAGGCTGAGCCCAGGGAGGTGAATCATTTCCTTGAGGTGCCTACAGGTAAGGAGGCAGGGGGGCCCAGATGGCTCAGAGAAAGTGCTGTCTGCATTACTCAGCAGCCCTGACACCGCTCACCATTCACCACCCATCTTTCCCTGCGTTCCCCCAACATCTGTCCAGTCAGAGGTGGCTAGGAAAAACCATTGGCCCACCCCGTGCCTGGAGTGCTCTACGTCTGGGCTTCAGCTGCTCGCAATCCCTTACTTCATTCCTGACTCAGCCTAAGTACTACCTTCTACCTGAGACCTTTTCTGAGTCCCCTGGCGGCCAGTGCCCCCTCCCAAAATTCTCTCCTCTTCATTTTGTGGCCAGAGCCCCGGGCCTGGGGTTAGGAAGACTGAGTTCAAATCCAGTCAGATACTTAATAGCTGTGTGACCCTGAGCAAGTCACTGTACTTCTGCCTGCCTCAGCTTCATCATCTGTGAAATGAGAATAATAATACTACCTATCTCTCAGGGTGGTTGTAAGGATCAAATGAAATAATGTTTGTAGAGCCCTTAGCACAGTGCCTGGTATATGGTAAACACACACACACACACACACACACACACACACATATATAAATGTTAGCTAGTAGTAGTAGTAGTAATGGTGGTGGTGGTAGTGGTAGTAGTGGTGGTAGTAGCAGTAGCAATAGTAATGAAGGGAAGAGCCAGGATTTGAACTGAGGTCCTCAAACTCTCCAGTCAGAACCCTTTTCACCAAGGCTATTTTTTTTTCTGAACTATTTTAAGTCCTCCTTGGCATTTAAAGTGCTCTGGAAAGTTCTAGACTCTCCCACCCTCATGTCTACTGTTGTTCAATCATTTTTCAGTTGTGACCCCATTTGGGGTTTTCTTGGCAAAGATACTGGAGTGGTTTGCCATTTCCTTCTCCAGTTCATTTTACAGATGAGGAAACTGAGGCAAACAGGGTGAAGTGACTTGCCCAGGGTCGCACAGCTAGTAAGTGTCTGAGGCTAGATTTTAACTCAGGTCTTCCTGACTCCAGGCCCAGCACTCTATCCACTGTACCACCTAGCTGCCCATCATCTACTACTTTTCCCCAGTCCACTTAGATCTTTCCTATACTTTGTACCTGGTCTTGCTATCTAACAATTGAAAGAGTCAGGTGAAATGAGAGGCTAGAGAAAGATCTTCAAAAACATCCCTCACTCAAAAGAAAAGTCCTTAGGAGAAGGCATTCTCAGTGGGTGGGTATCTGAGAACATCCCAATCCCATCTGTGCCTTGTTTCCTGGGCGTTAGCGGCTGGGCTCTGAGCCCTGCTGGTGGTGAGGGAGTATATATTGAATGTTTCTGGGGTTTAGGCTTGAGAGCCCTGGGGGTCCTTTCTATCTCTAAAACAGTGGTCCCATGAGCCTCCTCACTTCACAAATGAGGAAACTGAGGCCCACAAAGAATGACTAACCTGAAGTCACTTATTCCCTAAGGGCTTCAGAGCCCAGGATTCCCAGCAGCCCTCTGGAAAAACCCAAATCCAACTCTGTCCCTTTTTCTCCTGGGCGCCTGCTAGAGGCTGACCTCTGGCCCCTACAGGTGGTAAGTGATAGATAGAGTCAGGATTCACATTCGGGTTTCCCTGGGTGGATTTTTTACCTTTCTCTTGAATAATCACAGCTCTCATTGAAGAGGCCCTACAAAGTTATAATTGGCCAACCAACAGGCATTTATTTATTCATTGCCCACTATATGCCAAGCACTCTGCTAAGTGCTGAAACCATCCCTACCAAGGTCACCGAGGTAGTGAGTGACCCATGACCCCAAAGCCACTGAACTGCCTTCTGGGTCTTAAGACAATCGTCATGATGTCATCATCAAATAAGAATAGCCGAAACACCCTTCCATCGTCAGGGAATCGAATGTCCATGCGGACCTTGCCCAAGGCCTCCTCCACGACAAGGGCCAGCACCCTTGGCAAGTACACATCTCCCTGCTTTATGTCTTAATATCAATAATTGGAGAGTTTTTTGTGTGGCTACCTTTGTCAAGAAATCTTGTGTAGTCTTGGCATTTGCAGGAGAGACCTCGCCTTGTTGGGGAAGGCCTCATTTTGTCCTACAGACACAGGGCTGGGTCTTGAATCCACTATCTCTGTTAGTCAATTGTATGTGAGCTAGCAAAGATGGCGTCTTCAAGATGGTGGAGAATCCCTTGGGAAAGGCAGTGGGAAATTCATACAGGAGAAACGATGGAAGAGGCATGCTGTCCAGGCTGTGGTATGCTACAGTGAGATGACCAGTCCATTGAGTTAGCTCACATGTCGATTCTATCTCCCCTGATAGAACGGAAGCTCCTTGAGGGGAGGGCCTGTTGCATTTTTCTTTGTGTGCCTACTGCTAGGCATACAGTGGGCCCTGAAGGGGGCCTAGGTAAAAGTTCAGTTCAAGTTCCTCAGGGTGGGGGCTATATATATCATCTTTGTATCATCACAGCAGGGCTAGCACAGAACCCCTAATAAGCATTTATTGAGCGGATCAATGTTGGGCTTGAGAGCAGATTCTTACTTGGGCGTGGGAAGTTCCAGAGCCATAACTAGGAATTTTTGTGCCCAGGACAGGTACCACACACCTGGAGCAAATGGACACAAAGCTTACCTTCATTTGGAGGGGAAGGACGCAGGGAGCAGAGTGGGGGGAAAGCTTTGTATTTTTAATTTGTTCTTCTTCTTAACTGCGCACTAAGCCCTATTGTTACTATGCTCCTGAAGACTGTGTGAGTGCTCCCTCCAAATTCAGCTCCCTAGGGCAAAGCTCCAAATGCCCTACCTTAGTTATGTCTCTGGGAAGTTGCTTCACTTAGATAACTGAACCAAACCTTCCTTGAGGTTCGAGTCTGAGGAGCTGGGGTGAGGCCTTGGTAGTCTAGGCTGTGATGGGAAAGCTGAGCACTGTCTATGGTAAACTAGTCCCAAAGAATTCCCTCTTCCACAGAATAAAAGAATTGGAATGGGTAGTCTCCATTAACTCTTCACGCTCTCAACCATAGGATGTTATATTTGAGTTGGGGGCAAGATGCCAGGAGCTGGTTCCTGTGATGTCAGATGGGGGTGGGGCCGTGGGAACCCGGTCCCCATGAGGTCAGGGCTGGGAGCTGGGTCACAGTCACCCCCTGGACTCTTCTCAGATGACTTGGTACAGATGCCACCGACGCCCCCGAGCAGTAACGGCAGCGACAGCGACGGTTCCCAGAGTCCCCGATCTCTGCCGCCATCCAGCCCGGCCCGGCCCACGGCTCGTTCGTCCGCGGCCATCTCTTCCTCTCCCCTCCTCACTGCCCCACATGTAAGGAAGCAGGAAGTGGGGAGCCCTATGGGGGGAGGATGGGGAGTTTTGGGTCTTTTGAGGAGGGAGGTCTTTGAGCTAAGGGGAGGGAGTTCTAGGACCCCAGATGGAAAGAACGTCCCCTTCCTCTTCCTTTCCTGTGGGATTGTGTTCCCGAAAGGAAAAACCACTAGCTCTGGAATGAGAAGTCTTGGGTTCAAATACCCCCGTGCTACTTACTACCTTAGGCCAATCAATCACCCTCCCTAGGCCTCATTTTCCAAGTGAGTAAAATTGAAGGGTTTGTCCAGGCCACCTGCGAGGTCCCTTCTAGCCGGATCTGAGATCCTTGGAGCTTGGGGCTGGGGGGAGAGGCATGCGCTGGAGGTCGGAGGACACATCTGGCAATAGAGCTGCCGCCATCTTTCCTGGTATCTGGAGCGTGGTGGGGGATGGGGGTGAGGGAAGGGCAGAGATCTCTGATGGACAGACTCTGGAAGGTGGATGCCAAGGATGGTCCTACCCGAGGAATGTTTCCTTCCTCATCCTCCAAGATATGAGGGCCAATGGGTAGCGCTAAAGCATGGCTCTTGAATATGAATCTGATTTGGGCTTTCAAAGGCAAGGGCAGCTTTCTCTAAAGTCCTTCTTCCCATCCCACCCGAAATGTGTGTCCTCCAGAAGCTCCAGGGAACATCCGGGCCACTGCTCCTGACAGAGGAAGAGAAACGTACTTTGATTGCAGAGGGCTACCCCATCCCCACCAAACTCCCCCTCACCAAAGCTGAGGAGAAGGCCTTAAAGAGGGTCAGGAGGAAAATCAAGAATAAGGTATGGAGGTGACTTCAGGCCTTGGGGTCCACCATTGGGAGAAGGAAGGGCACCCCCCAGGGACATTTCTAGACCCCTGAATGTAAGGTCACAGAATCTGAGTTCATCCCAGTTCTGATGCTTACTCCTGGGTGACCCCGGGGCACTTTCTTTCCCCGGGGCCTCAGTTTCCTCATCTGTAAAATGAGAGTGTTGGACACAGTGGCCTCTAAGACCAGCTCTTCAGGCTGGGGGGCTGCTGCTAGTGGTGCTGCATAGGAGTAGGGGGCTAAGGAGACTCTTGGGCAGCAGCATTCCCAAACCTCACCCCCTTTGTGGGTCCTTTCCCTCCAGATATCTGCTCAAGAGAGTCGCCGGAAGAAGAAGGAATATGTGGAGTGCCTAGAGAAGAAGTAAGACCCTGGGTTTCTTTTTGTTTCTTTTCTCTTCTCAACAAGGAGGGAGATCAGAAGTAAAGAAAACCGATTTTTGTTCATTGAAAAATGTTATTATTGGTTTTTTAAAGAAATGAGTCCCCTTTGGAAAGGGCGTCCCTCCCTGCTGGGCTGTGTATTCTTACCTAGGGACACCAGAGGGTCAGGGGTGGGATCCTGGGCAGTCTGGGAGGGGTGGGGGCAGGAGCCAGGATGAAAAGGGCCCAGTGGAAGGCGGGCCCCCAGGGGAGAGGAGAGCAGGGATGGGTGGCCCCAGGACAGGAGTCACGACCCCACCCGGGTTTTCCCCCTCCTCCCCTCCAACTCTGAACCTGGTGTCCACTTGACCCCAACAGAGTTGAGACATTCACATCAGAGAATAATGAGCTATGGAAGAAGGTGGAAACCCTGGAGAATGCCAACAGGTAAGCAGCACCCCTTCCCCGGCCTTAACCCGGGCACCAATGTTGCTTCCTGACTTGGTCACAGCCTTCAGTGGGGGCCACATAGCATGGCACTGAGTTCCTTAGGAGGCAGTGTGGAACAGTGGTTAGGGTGCTGGGCTTGGAGCCTGTAAGACTTGGGTTCAAATCCTGTTGCTAGAGTTACTGGACAAGCTTCTTGTCCTAACTTTCCATTTCTTCAGCAGTAAAAGGGGGCTCATAATGGCACCTTTGTTGTTGTGCAGTCATTTTTCAGTCGTGTCTGACTCTTGGTGACCCCGTTTGGGGTTTTCTTGGCAAAGATACTAGAGTGGTTTACCATTTCCTTCTCCAGCTCATTTTACAGATGAGGAAACTGAGGCAGACAAGGTTAAATGACTTGACCAGGGTCACATAGCTACTAAGTGTCTGAGGCTGGATTTGAGCTCAGGTCTTTCTGACATATAAATATTAGTTATTATTATTATTATTAGGATACCTTGGGTCTGGTTAATTGATAGGATGAGGAATATGGTGAGGAGTTGTGGGCAGGAAGAAACAGCACTGATTTGGAAGAGTAGGGAAGGAACCCTGTCTCTGCCCCCAGCAAGCCGTGTGCCCCTTTTCTTTCTTCCTTATCTTGAACTGGAGGGGGCTGGGTCCTCGGGCCAGGAGTCAGAGCCTGGGGGGTCTCAGCCGTCTCTGCCGCTGCCTTGTGGGTGACTTCTCCCCAGGGGTTTTCCCTCTGGGCCTCAGTGGCCTCCTCTGTCAAACAAGGGGCTTGGGCATTAGAGGGTCTCTTGGGGAATGTGGGACGGGGACCCAAGGTCAGGGATGCTCAGGTGAGAACCCCCCTCTCCTCCTTCTCCTTGGGCTCTTTCTCCACATGTGGGGGAAGGGGTGGAGGGGCAGACAGGTCAGCTCCACCTTCTTCCAGGGCTTTCACTAGTTGGGGAAGGGGAAGAGGTGGAGGGATGCATGGTCCTGCTGACCCTGTTCTGGAGCCCCGCGGGTGGCTCTGTCCCAGGGCAAGGAGCACATTGCTGGAGCTGTGCTGCCACCTGCTGGACACTCTAGGAACTTCAACACCACCTGTCCATAACCAAGGTGGGAATGGATCCGGCCTTCTGAACCAACTCCTGCCATTTCACAGATGAGGGAACTGAGACTCAGGACAGTGAAGTGATCTGCCCAAGATCATGCCAACTGTTGTTCAGTTATTCAGTCATGTCCGACTCTTCGTGACCCCTTTTTGGGGTTTTCTTGGCAAAGATACTGGAGTGATTCGCCATTTCCTTCTTCAGCTCATTTTACAGATGAGGAAACTGAGGCAGACATAGGTGAAGTGACTTGGGGTCACACAGCTTAGTGAGTATCTGAGGTAGAATTTAAAGTCGGGTCTTCCTGACTCCAGGCCCAGCGCTTTATCTACTGAGCCATGTAGCTACCTCTAAGCATCAGTATTTAAACTCAGGTCCTCAGACCGCAGAGCGCTGTACCACAGGCTCGATGGAGCTGGGCCATGTCTCCCACTGACGTCAGGAAGTCCTGAATTCAAATCCTGCCTCAGACAGAAAAGGAGTGGAAGTGTCTGAAGTTCACGCCCCTTGCCGTGAGATTTCAGAGACATCCCGGATGAGACTGAGGGGTTAGAGACGCCGAAGGAGCGACGAAGCGTTAACCCTCTGAGTCGCGGCTCTGCCGCAGTGCCGGGGTGGGGGGCTGGGCAGGGCCATTCATTCTGGTGACCTCTCGATTGTGCTTTCCTCAGAACCCTTCTCCAGCAGCTACAGAAGCTCCAGGCCCTGGTGACAGGCAAGCTCTCCAGACCTTACAAGATGGCTGCCACCCAGACAGGGACCTGCATCATGGTGAGTGGGGCCTGCCCCTCTTCTTTCTGCCTCCATTGCCTCGGGCACTCCAAACATGACCAGATTGCCGTCTCCTGGGAGCCAGGGCGAATGCCCAGGATGTTGGGCAAGGGGAGGGGGTGCTGGGAAAGTCCCATGGCAAAGGGGGAGGGAAGTGGGAAGGGGATGTGTTCAAGGATTGGTGCCGTGTCCCATGATGGCCCTGGTGGTGCCATCACCCACTCCTCTCTCAGGATAGTCCTCAGGTCCGTCCAGGGACTCTCTTTATGGATGAGAGTGTTTGTGAGCACCAGGGAAAGGGGATGGTGACAATCCATCCCTTCCAGAGGCTGGTCCTTCAGATCTTTATTTTTTATTTATTCATTCATTCATGTATTTTTGTGAAACAGTCAGGGTGAAATGACTTGCTCAGGGTCACACAGCTAGTAAGTGTCAAGTATCTGAGGCTGGATTTGAGCTCAGGTCCTCCTGACTCCACTGTGTGCCACCTAGCTGCCCCCTCCTTCAGGTCTTTAAATTGGGGGAGACAACTTCCAACAAACTGGCCAAACAAACCTTTATATGTCTAAGAAAGCTTAATTGCCGCTCCCTCCTATCCCATGGAAAAGCTGGAAAGCGGGTTTATGCACACAAACGGCCGGGAGCCACCAGGCAAAGGCTCCCTGACCCAATGGTTAAACCGTTCTTCGACCCTGGCAGGTTGGACCCAGCCTTCCCCTGGGTCCTGTGGCTAGAATTTAGGGTTATGGATTTAGGCTAGAAGAGACCTTAAAGGCCATTGAGTCCAAACCCTTTATTTTACAGATGAAAAAACTGAAGCCTACAGAGGTAGAGTGAATTAATTGCCCAAAGTCACACAACCGGCTAGTTTCTGAGGCAGGATTTGAACTCAGGGTTTCCTGACTCTATCCATTATGCCATCGAGCTGCCTCTTGTCTTCCTGGGAGTCGCTTAAGGTAGCGAATATGCCTGCAGGTTGCCCTACAACAAATGTTAACTGTCCCCTTCTCCATAGCTGGGATGCAGAATCCAAGGAGCCTGCCAGGTTTGCCTTATTACCCGTATGACCTTGGACAAGTCACTTCCTCCCTCTGGGTCTGTTTCCTTCTACCTAAAATGGGGATGACCGTGACTTTTTTTTCCAACACCGCCGCGCCTGGTGGTCACCCACACGGGCCCCTTGGATGGTGGCAGAGATAACTTATGCTCCCCACCCCCCGATAGTTTTGTACCATCAGCTGGGCCCTGGGAGGAAGGATGGGTGCCACCCACGTAGCCTCTCACCCTGGTGGCCCCACATCTGCCAGGACAGGCAGCTGTTTCCTCTCCATGGCTCACTGGGGCACAGGGGGCCAGTCCTCACCTTCTCTCTCTGTTTGCAGGTGGTGGTGCTGTGTTTCGTCCTGGTGCTGGGCTCCATCATGCCGTGCCTCCCCGAGTTCTCCTCCGTGTCCCAGACAGTGAAGGAGGCTCCCCTCCCAGCTGCCAGTGTCTACACAGCCAGCCAGAGTGAGTGTCCTGCCTTGCCTGGCCACCCTCGACCCATCGGTCAGGCATCCTGATGAGGGGCATAGGGCCCCGTGGAACAAAGTGCTCTCCTGGGGACTAGTCAGTCAGTCAATAAACATTGATTAAGCACCTACTATGTGCTAGGCACTGTGCTAAGTTCTGGGGATACAAAGAGAGGCAAAAGACAGTCCCTGCCCTCCAGGATCTCACAGTCTAATGGGGGAGACAACATACAAATACAAATGAGTTCTGGACTGAATAAATTGGAGACCATCAATAGAAGGAGGGTCCTAGCATTAAGGGGGATTAGGAAAGGCTCCACTGAAGATGGGATACAATCGAATGGGAGGGAAGACATACGGAAATAATTATGATACCAGGGAGGGTTAGATATATGCGGGGCAGGGGGAGGGGTCCAAATAAAGTGCTTTGGGGAATTCAAGAAGGGGAGATAACACAGGAAAGGCAGGGTCACACAGTAATTTGTGTGATGAAGATCTAGGGGTTCCAATGGACCACAAACTCAATATGCGTCAATAGTTTATCATGGAGACCAAAATATGCCCAGTGAGACCGTAAGCCACATTAAGAGAGGCACGAGGTCCAAAACATTACAGGTCCCCATACTTTTCCCTGTTCAATCAATCAACAAGGATTTATTAAGGCTGACTACTTATCCTGTACTCTGTTAGGTGCTGGGAATACAAGTACAGAGAATGAAACAATCCCAACTCAAAATGAGCTCACATTCTAATGAGAAAGACCCCATGTACATGTATAAGTATATATGGTATAAATACACTTCTAAATGTATATAGTATAAATACATGTATAAATGTACGAGTGTATACATGTATAAGTGTATATGTATATAAATACAAATAAATACAAAGTGATTAGATACAAAGTAGCTTATAAGGGAGGGCTCTAGCAGCTGGGGGATCAGGAAAGATTTTGAGTTGGCTGTGATGTCTGAGCTGTGTCTTCAAGAAAGAGAGGGAGGGGCAGCTAGGTGGCGCAATGGATAAAGCTCTGGCCTTGGAGTCAGGAGGACCTGAGTTCAAATCCAGTCTCCAGACACTTGACATTAGCTGTGTGACCCTGGGCAAGTCACTTAACCCCAATTGCCTAAGCAAAAAAAAAAAAAAAGAAAAAAAAAACAAAGAAAGGGATTCCGTGAGGTAGAAGTGAGGAGGGAGGGCATTCCAGGCATTGCAGGCATTGGGTACTGTCATGGCAAAGGCATGGACGTGGTATATGGAGTGCCTAAGAAGCAGAAAGAAGGCCAGTTGGGCTGATGACAGAGGGAAGGAGGATGTGCAATGTCCAATGAATTGGGGAAAGCTTGTGGAGGGCTTTTAAAGCTAAAGAGAGGAGCTGCTATTTTTCTATTTTATCCTAGAAGTAGTCAGGAGAAGGGAAGTGACCTGGTCAGACACTGGTGCCTCGTGTCCAGTTCATTTTGGGAAGGATGTTGATAAACTAAATGGTGTCCAGAGCTGCGGGCAGCCAGGATAAGGAAGGGCCTTGAAGATCTGCAAATGGGGGGAGGGGGTGAGTGTAGAGAAGACTCGGGGAGGTTACAAGAGCTGTCTGCAAGTACTGAAGGGTTGGTAATCGGGGAAAGGGATTAGCTTTGTTCTGCTTGGCCCCAGAGAGCAGAACAAGAAATCACAATGTGGCTTTGGGGGATGAGGTGGATGGAGATCCAGCAAGAAGGAGTGGTCAGATAGGTAGGAGGAGAGTCAGGAGATGGTAGAGAGAAGGGTATATCAAAGAGAAAAGAGTGAACAACCATGCTAAAGGCTTCAGAGAGGTCAAGAAAGATGAGGACTGAGAAAATGCCATGAGATTTGAAATTTAAGAGATAATTATTGGAGTTCAGTTGTGTCTGACTGTTTATGACCCCATGGACCATACTATCCATGGGGTTGTCTTGGCAAAGATAACAGAGTGGTTTTCCATTTCCTTCTCCAGTAGATTAAGGCACACAGAGGTTAAGTGACTTGTCCAGAGTCACATAGCTAGTACATGTCTGAGGTTGGATTTGAACTCAGGTCTTCCTGACTCCAGGCCCAGTGTTCTATCCCCTGAGCCACCTAGCTGCCTCCTAAGAGATCATTAGTAACTTTGAAAAGAGCAGTTTTGGTCGAATGATGTGGTTAGAAGTCAGTCTTCAGAGAGTTAATAAGAGAGTTAGAGGAAAGGAAATGAAGGCCTTGATTGTAGATGGCCTTCTCAAGGAGTTCAGCTATAAAAAGAAGGAGAGACACGGGACAGAGCTAGCAGGAATGAACAGATTAAATGAGGGGTTTTTTTTGTTTTGTTCTGTTTTAGGAATGAAGAGACAGGCATGACAGGGCACCAGGAAAACAGCCAGTAGACAGGGAGAGATTGGAGATTAGTGAGAGAGTGGGAATGAAAAAGGGGAGGCAACCTGCTGAAGAAGACAAGATGAAATGGGATCATTTATACATGTAGTACCTTAACCTCTGTTCAGTCTCAGTTTCCTCATCTGTAAAATGAATATAATAGCACTTACCTCAGAGGGTTGTGAAGATCAAATAAGTAACATATAAAGTGATTTACAAAACTTTAAATGTTCTACAAATGGTTATCATGATGTCTTGAGGAAAGGGAGGGACTTCGGCATCCAGGGAAGTGGGAGAAACAGATTCCAGATGTGGGGAGTGGGAGTGAAATGAGCAAAGACTTGGAGGTGTAAAAGGGCAAGATGACAATAAGGGACAGAGAATAGTCAGTTTGGCTGCAATGTTGTCTTCTAGGAAGGGGAGGAATAGTGTGAGATAAAGCCACAGAGGGAGTTGGAACCAGACCATAGAAAGAATAGTTATGGTTTGTTGGTTTGTTGGTTTTAAATACTTAACTCAGCAGTAACTTAGGAGCTACTGATGGTTTATGAGGAGAGAAGGGACCCAGTGAGCGACTTCTGAAGGTGCAGTTATAGGGCTTCTCCTGAGCACCACCAGTTCTGGGTGCTTTTCTGATCCCAAGCTCAGATCTCCACCTAGCTTTGGTGAAGTCACAGCTGGAATGAAGAAGAGGAGACATTCGTGTGGGTAGGGAGTAGAGGAATAAGAATCCACCCAGGGGGTAGAAAGCATCATCTTGGCACAGAAAGCAGTGTGGGGCTCAGCAGCCGCAGGACAAATTGAAGTTGGACTCAGAACTTCCTGGCTAAAAGGGCAGCTTGGATTGATTGGAAGTGATATTTAAGCACGTGTCTGGACTAAGGGGAGAGGAGCAGGAAAGGAGCCTGATGTGCCCTGATCAGAGAGGGAAAAAGAAAACACCTCCAGCAATGTCACAGAAGGCAGAGGAGGGAGGACTATTATGTTCACAGTCAGAAGACCTGAGCTCAATCCCTGCTCTCCTATTCTGCCATGAACTAGCTGTGTGAGCTTGGACTAGCCAGTCATCTCCCTGGGCTTCAGTTTCCTCATCTATAGGAGCAGCTCCCTCTGGGGCCACCCCACTCCTACATAGAAAATGAGGGCTGTATGCTTGGAGACTTCTAAATTTCCTGCCAGCTCTGAGCTTATTTTTTTATTAATTAATTTATTTTTAGTTTTCAACATTCAGTTTTATAAAATTTTGAGTTCTAAATTTTCCCCCCTCCCAAGAATAGCATGCAATCTGATATAGGCTATACATGTGCTATCATATTAAACATATTTCCACACTAGTCATTTTGTGAAAGAAGAATCAGAACAAAAGGGGAAAACCACGAAAAAGAAAAAAAAAACAAAAAAGAGAAAATAGTATGCTTCGATCTGCATTCAGACTTCATAGTTCTTTCTCTGGATGTGGATAGCATTTTCCATCATGAGTCTTTTAGAATTGTCTTAAATCATTGTATCGCTGAGAAGAGCTAAGTCTATCAAAGTTGGTCATCTCACAATGTTGCTGTTACTGTGTACAATATTCTCCTGGTTCTGCTCACTTTGCTCAGCATCAGTCCATGCAAGTCTTTCCAGGTTTTTCTGAAGTCCTCCTGTTCATCATTACTGATAGCACAACAGTATTCCATTACATTCATATACCACAACTTGTTCAGCCATTCCCCAATTGATGGGCAGCCTCTCAATTTCCAATTTTTTGCCACCACAAAAAGCAGCTCTAAGTTTCAAGAAAGAGGGGTGGGTCAATAATATCAGATGTCACCATGGGGTCAAGGAGGATAAGGAAGAAGAGAAGGTCACTGGAGAACCTCGAGAGAGCAGCTTCAGGAGAGCGATGGGAAGGGAGCCAGAGCCATCTTTAGGGTTAAGGGGCAAGTAGGTGGAAAGGAAGTGGAGACAGCTGAGTAAACTCCGGTGAGAAAGAAAGGTGAGAAATAAAACAACATTGAGAAGGAATAATAGGGTCAGGCCAAAGTTTGGGGAGCAGAAAGGAAAGAACCAGTGAAGAAAAAAAAGGCTAAAGACGCCAGAGGGAACATTCTTAAGGAAACTAGAAAATATAACAGGAACTCTCTCTCTCTCTCTCTCTCTCTCTCTCTCTCTCTCTCTCTCCC